CCCCGGCCCGCGGGCGCCCCGCTTCTCGATGCGGCTGGGCGCGGAGAGCAGTGCTGCCTGGGTCGGGTGGCGGCGGGGGTTTCTCGAGCGGGGAGAGGGCGGCCTGGCCGTGCAGCTCCCGCCGAGCCGCGTCCCGCGAGGTGCGCACGGGCTGGGAAGTCGGTGTGGGGCCCTCGAGACCCCAGCTGCTCCCGGCCTTAGCCTTGGGCGAGCCGCGCTCTGCCTCCGAGGGCCGGGAGGTCGGGCACACGCCGCCGCCCGGACAGGTGCACGCGCTCTCCGGCCGCGCTGCGCCTCCGCCCGCCGAGGACCCTGGCTCAGGTAGGGTCAGCAGCAGGCCCGGAGCTCGGCCGCGTTTCGCGCCTGCCCTGCACCGGCCTCTAACTCGGTGTTCGCGTGGAACGACTGCTCGGCGTCCAGGCCTGCGTGTGGCTCTCGGTTCCAGGTGCAGACCGCACGCGGGGGGCGCCAGCACTGCCCCCCAAGCGGAGACCCCAAGCCGCAGTGGCGGGGCGGAGCGCCTCTGGGCCGGGGTGGGCAGAGGGATTCTTTGGCTGGGGACTGTGCCTAACACGGCCTTCAGGAGGGAAGGTGGAAGCCCGAGTGAAAAAGAAGCGAGGGGCTGCCCGCCGACTGACTGTCCGGATACGAAGGGAAACCCACAGCCAGTCTTCCGCAGCTCTCTTGGCAGAGGGTGGATCTGGATGAAAAGTAGCTGCGAGAGTTCCTTTGTTGCGCTAAGTGTGTGAACTTCACCGGGCAGAGCTGCGTGCTGGCTTCTGGAGCAGGACCGCGCGAGGCGAGGCTGGGATCCTGGCCTCCTAGGGAGGAGGGCGGCGGGAGGTGGGGAGCGACTTCGGGCGGGCGGCCCGTCCTGGGCTGCTGAGCAAAGTGCGGTTTCCTTAGGATCCAGGATGCCGCAGACGGCCTTTCCGCCAGGGGGTCGCCGCCCTGGTTGCTGGGAGGGCACAGTGGGAGCCGCGGTGCCGGTCATCCGGTCCGGGCGGGCGCCCATCGCTCACTTCTCCTGTGGGCTTCTGGGGTTGAGGGTGATTATTCCGGCCGCCGCTGCGCTCCTCTAGGCGCAAGCTCCCGGAGGGAGTCCTTTCGGTCCTCATTAATGCAAGCAGTTAACTCACTCACGCTCAATTAGCCCCGAATAAACCGCTTTAATAGACTGCACACTTCATTAATGCCCAGCAAGGGCAGCGCAGGCCCGGGATTGGCGCTGCCCGCGCTGGGACCCGGCTTCTGGTGGAATAGATGCTGGGGCGCGGGGAGGCGACCCTTCTCTGGGCGAAAGATCGGCAGCGGTCTCGGACTGGGGCCTCGGGTCGGGAGTGGAGCCGGTGGACTCATTCTCTCCGGCTGGGGAAGCAGCTAGAGGCCGCTTCTCTCCTAGCTGACTGCCGAGAACCTACCGCATCGTTCACTCTGCCTTCTCCGGACTCGTGTGAAGAGCCACGTTTCGAACGAAATTCGTCCTCCGAAAAGTCGCTGGCGGAAACCCGGGGAGCCTTGGCCTCGGAATGCTGCGGAGGAAAATAAGAAACTGTATGGGCCGCGGAGGAAAAAAAGTGGAGCGACGGAGAAATAAGATCGGGCAGATAGCCCGGAGAGGTTGCTCTGAGCGGAGTCGCAAGCCTCGCGCTCTGGGACCCCCTTTGGAGGCTATGGCCGCTGGGGCCTTTCCCCGTTTGAGGGGAGGCGAGTGCAGGCCAGGGGGTGGGTGGGTTCTCCCACCCGAGCTCCAGCAGGTTGGGCCAGCCTGTAGCCCAGAGTCCCGGCCCCGGGCTGTCGCTGGCCTGGCCTAGGCCCAGCCGCTGGCGCTGCAGGCTGAGGCCGCGCGTGGCCCAGTGGCCCTGGGGAGCCGGGGATAGGATCTGATTTCCAGGGCCTGGGGGAGAGCGGAGAAGGCAAACCAAAGAGCGCTCCCCTCGCCTAGGTCCGGGCCCGACCTTTGAAACTGGCGGTCTTCCACCCCTCCCCAACCCAAAGGGGCTTCTCCCTTGTCCCAGGCCTCTGGGACGCTCTCGGTTTGTCCCTTGGAGCACTTCGGAAGACTGGCGCCAGGCTCTGCCGGTGGGTCCCTGGCTCAGTGCAGACGCAGGATCGCGCAGCCGCTGCGTTCTCTGCCCGGGGCTGCGGCTGCGTGACCGTGACCGCAGTGGGCAGCTTCCTTTCATCTTCTGGGCAAGGAAGCTGTGCAGGCCTCTGCCGGCTCCTGCGTTTTCTGCTCCCCACCCCAGCAACGCCTCTTTCCTTAGAGCCTCACCTCACAGGCCAGCTTAGAGCGGCGGGTTTGGGATCAAGATAGCTCTGCCCTTCCCAGAACAGGCGTGCAACCCACAGGGCCAGGCGTACAGAGCCTGGCTGCAGGGAGAGAACAGCAGCTGAGTCTGTGACTGCCTTGCTTGAGCTTGGGCCAGAGTCCCTGGGGACCAGCAGAGGGACCCTAGGCCCAGGATGGGGCTCTGTGCTGTGAAGGCGGGCACATCTCAGGGCAAGGGAGGTACTCCAGAGGGGAAGTCTGAGGGGAAAAGGAGAGGCTCCGGGCTGAAGGAGAAAGTCAGTAGCAGGGGAATGAGTGGGCAGAGGAGGACGGAGTGCAGGGCCCTGCAGGGAGCACGACCTGTGGAGCAGCTCCAGCTCAGAGCTGGGGGTCAGTGCCTGGGCATCCCAAAGCTCCTTGCCACTTTCTGCCTTCCTTCTTCCTGTTTGTGCCTCCCCTGGATAGACCCAAGTCAGGAATATCTAAGATGGGCAGGGATGAAAGGCCGCTTTCAGACCCGAGACCTTTCCATGCAAGCTGTAGTCTCTGACAAGAGGCTTAGAGATGCCAGCCCCCCCCCCCACTCTGCCCTGGCTCCTCTCTGCCTCGCTCCGGCACACGGGCCTTGCACAGACTGGCATCAGCTTTGTCCACATCATAGGCTGGCCCGGTTCTCTGCATGCATAAGACTCCTGCTGCCCTTTCCTGTGGGGGAAGGAGGGCACTGGAGCCCTCTTGGATGTGACTGCAGATGCTTAAAGGACTGAATGAATGTGGGTGTTGGTGCCCTTCCTCCTTGAAATGAGGGTGACCCCAAAGGACAGTGGTCAGGAATCAATCTGCAAGCAGCTGCAGAGCAGTGCCACAGGGCTCACTAATCCTCAGGCAGGATCTCCAACAGGAGGGCAGTGCTGAGAGTCCTGAAGAAGATGCCACAGCTTCTAGAGCCAGCGCCGATGCTGGCCAGAAGACCTTACTAAGCAGGCGGCAGGAGGTGTGTGTGTGCGTGTGTGTGTGTGTGTGTGTGTGTGTAAGCATGCATTGGTGATGGTCTTTGCATTTTGTAACCACTGCTGTCCAATGAGACCCTGGCTGGCCCAGTTTATCTGTGCACCTTCTTGGTGATTCTGTGTTAGGCTGTGTGAATATGTTCATGTGTCAGTGTGCATTTCTGTCTGAATGTGTAAGTGTGCTTCCAAATTCTGTTACCTTTGCAGGAGAAAGTAATTCCGCGTGGACCAGGCTTGCCCGGAACTTGGTTTTTACCAGTGCCAGTTGCCTTGCACTTGCACCTGTCTGCCTGAGCCCTACATTTTAAGTTATTGTGGTTCTTGGGATTTGACTTCATACTGGTTTCCCTGTCAAGTTCTGTGTTTCTGCCAGAGGCCATTTGGAGGGTGCCCTCGAACCAGGGCCCCCAGGAGAAGACTCTCAGCATCTGACCCATCTGACCTGCTTTGCGAGAGCACTGGGCCGGGGCTGTGCAGGCAGCTCAGACTATCCTGGGTCGAGGAGGGGCTGTGACTGGGCTGGCACTGGAAGGAAGGCCACCCAGCCTGAACTTCTGTCTTCCTCTCTCCTTTCTTTGCAGATTGAGGTTGAGAACCACTGCAACTACCGCGATGGGCAGCAAGACCTTGCCAGCTCCGGTGCCCATCCACCCATCCCTGCAGCTCACCAACTACTCTTTCCTCCAGGCGGTTAACGGCCTGCCCACGGTGCCCTCGGACCACCTGCCCAGCCTGTACGGCTTCAGTGCGCTGCAGGCTGTGCACCTGCACCAGTGGACGCTGGGCTACCCGGCCATGCACGTGCCCCGCTCCTCTTTCTCCAAGGTGCCTGGCGCCGTGTCCAGCCTGGTGGACGCACGCTTCCAGCTGCCCGCCTTTCCCTGGTTCCCTCAGGTCATCCAGCCCAAGCCCGAGATCGCCGCTGCAGGCAGTGGCCCAGCACTCAAGAGCAAGCCGCGCTTTGATTTTGCCAACTTAGCTCTGGCTGCCACACAAGAAGACCCTTCCAAGCTTGTCCGAGGTGAGGGCCCCGGATCCCCCACAGGTGGGCTGGGTGCCCTCCTGGACGTGACCAAGCTGCCCCCAGAGAAGAAGCCCACCAGGGGACGCCTGCCTTCCAAGACCAAGAAGGAGTTCGTCTGCAAGTTCTGTGGCCGCCACTTCACCAAGTCCTATAACCTTCTCATCCATGAGCGGACCCACACGGACGAGCGGCCCTACACCTGTGACATCTGCCACAAAGCCTTCCGGAGGCAGGACCACCTGCGGGACCACAGGTGCGAAGTGCAGGTGCCCAAGAGAGCTGTGTGCTGCCTCTAGCCTCCCCATCCTGTTCCCTAAAGAGCTGTTCCAGACCCCACTGCCCGGGAATTGCCAAGAATCACGAAGGAAAACCAGGAGGCTCAGGGACAGGTTTAGGAGCAAGGGGGGAGGAACTGGGGCCAAGGGGACCCTAAGGCCAGAGCAGGTCTCCACACACTGTCCTGCGCCCCCTCACTCTGGCTCTGTGCTCTACCATTGTCCAACGGTGACATTTCTGTAAGGATGCGGAGTATGACATCTCATAACCTGAACTTTTTGTTTTGCTTAGTTTTATGTCATCTTAATAGCCACAAGTGCTAGTCTTGGACCATGATTGTCCAACCCAGCTCCTTTTCGTTCACCTCTAGCACTGACCCAGGCCCTATAAGAAGGTGATGCCCACCTCCTCCTCAGAAAGGCAGGGGTCTGTCAGCCTGGACCCGCTTAGGGTTCGAACGTCGCCCCACTCTGGGCAGCTCAGTGTTTGGCTGGACACACACGTTCAGGGCTCTACAACCTGTTTGTTGCAAGGGCCAGGGCCTTGGAAGGCAGGAGGGGCCTTAGGCAGCTGTTGGTAGAGAAGGGCACACCGTTCCGTTCTGGGATTAACTATTTGTTTCCACCCCCAGATATATTCACTCCAAAGAGAAGCCTTTCAAATGCCAAGAGTGCGGAAAAGGATTCTGCCAGTCCAGGACTCTCGCTGTGCACAAGACGCTACACTCACAGGTGAAGGAGCTCAAAACCCCCAAGATCAAGTGTTAAACAGCCTGTGGCCCCAGCAGCCGGCTGTGTCCCCAGTTCTCCGGAGAGGCGCGACGAGGAGGGAGCTGGAGGCCGCGCCCCACCCGGGGCCCCGCACCGCGTCTCAATCTCGGGGTCCCCAGACGCAGCTGCTCTCGGCCGGAAGCGGGACTCTGGATTAAAAGGAGAACCGGAGCCCCGCGGAGCGCAGGGGCGCCTTTCAGAGACGCATTACTTTTTCAGTTGTTATTGTATACGTTTTCTTCCTTTCCTTTCCTTCGCGCCCTTTGGCCATCCAAGTGTGTAACTGACTGGAGAGGAGAGCAGCTCAGCGCTCCCGCCCTCCTCCGTCCCCACGCCACCCGAGCCTGCGCAAGTGTAACCCTTGTATCGGCTTCAGCCGCCGGCCGCCTGGGCCCAGCGCTTCCCGGCCCGGGCGCAGCCTGGGGCGCGCGGTCTGAGCGGGAGCGGGCCCTGCGCCGGGCTCGGTGCCGCTCGCTCCCGGCTCCCACGCGCGCCCCCGCGAGCCGGCCGGCCCGGCGGGCGTTGTACTGCGACTGGCACTTTACGCTGACCATCGGTAACGGACATTTATCACTGGAGTTTTTAACTATTAAATAAACGGTATTTTACAGGCTGCGCAGCACGGGTCTTCCCTTCCGAGCCGCAGGGCGCCCCTCCCTCCCTCCCAGCAGGAGCGGGTCCTCGGCCCCTGAGCCGCGCCCCGCCGGCATCTCCGCCTCGGCGCGCCCGGACTTAGGCCCTCACTTCTCTCCGCCTCCGCGTCAGGGTCTCGGTCCCCCGCCTCACCGCCGAGGAGCCCGGGCGTGCGGTGCGCTCGCCTGCACCTCCCGAGCCGGGTCGCCCGACGGGCGCCCACTAAGGGGACAGAGCTTGGCAGCTACCGCCGCCCACACGGAGTTTTCCTGCCGCCCCGGCTGGCTCCAACTGTCTGGAGGGCCTCGGGCAGCGCGCCCCCCGCCACGCCTGCAGATAGCGCCCCGCGCAGCCCCCAAATCCCGGACCCCACCCGCGGAGCTGCCCCAAGCTGGAGCCCACAGGGACGGCGGGCGGGCGGGTGGGCGCCCTGGGAGCCCGGGGGGAACCTCTCAGGAAGTTCAAGCCCGCCCGCCGCAAAGGGAACCTTCGCGGGTCGTCCCGCCTTCCCCCAACCGCAGCCCGGCCGCGGGGGGCTCGGGCGGGGCTCGGCGCTCGGACTGCGGATCGCGCAGGCTGTGGCGCCCTGGGCCTTTTCCGGAGACCCCGAGCCGCGCGCCTGCCCCGGGACCACAGACGCCAGCCCTGCGCAGGGCCCGCTGACCCAGCGCCGGCCTCGCCCCTCCGCGGCCCTGACGCCCGGTGGGCGCCTGGGGAAGCCCGCCCCGCCTTGTGGCCGCCTGCCCCCTGCTGGGCGGCCTGGCGGGCGGCCCAGGGCCGGCGGCGCTCTGAAGCCAGGGTCCGGAGCCCACTGCGCGCGGACGGGTCTCTGCCACCTGGGCCCGCAAGGACACCAGCGGGGTGGAGGCCCTGTCCCTGTCTCGGGCTGCAGACCTCTGGGCGGGAAGGCGACAGTTCCACAGCTCAGGCCCCGAGGTCTGCGCCGGGCCGGGCTCCTGCAGGGCCAGCGGCAGTGGCCACGTGGTCCCTGCGGGGCCTCGAGGTGGGGCCTGCTGTCCGGGACAGGACGGGCAGCAGACACGCAGCTCTCTGCCCGGCGCTGAGGACGGACGGCGGACCCCGCCCAGCTCCTCCGGGACTCCGCCCTCCCGCCCGCTCTGCTCCCGCTCGGCACACTCGGCTGGCAGTTAGCTGGGCAGAGGCGCTGAGCAGCGGGAAGGCCGCTGGGGTGCCCTCTTTCCTGGGCGGCCTCCAACGCCGCCCACCTGCGCGGACAGACTTTCAGATCAGTTTGCGCCTGGGCAGGCGAATCCCGGGGCTGGGCTCTTCACGCAGACCCGCGGCCGCTCTGGGCACGCCGAGGCGGAGGTCCTGCGCCGCTCCCGCCGCTGCGTCACCCCGGGCCCGGGCCGCAGCGACCTGCGACCTGCGACCAGAAGCGGCGCCTGCGAACGGACGGCGCCCTCGGCGTCCCGGCCCAGACCCAGTGTGGTCGAGGAGCGCGGCGGGGCCCGCCACCGCCACCCGCGTTCCGGCCGGCCCGGGCCTCTTTCCGCAGGCGGCCTTCTGAGGCCCCGAGGCCGGCGGAGCTCACGGACCTGTTCCCGCGCGGCACCTCCTCGCGGACCCGTGCTCGGAGGGGACGAGGGGCGCGGGCGGGCGGGGTCTGCAGCCTCAGGCAGGCGTAGTGCAGCCGGGCCTCCCCTGCTAGCAGGACGGCACCGCTCGCACCCCTGGCTCGGCCCGGCCCCTCGGGTCCGGCCCTCGGAGCCGGAGCCGCACGCGGAGGCCAGACCGGAAGCGGGCAGGTGCCCTCGCGGGGGCGTGGTGACCGGCGCTGCTCCTCCCAGCCCCGCCCCGTAGGGGGTCCAGGCTGGCAGGGCCCCGCCCCGCCCGCCCCGCCCACCGCGCACGCTCCGCACGCAGGCGCAGAAAGGGCTGGCCGCCATCCTTTCTGGTCGGGGTGGCTGCGGTGCGGGCTTCCGGCTTAGGGGTTGCATGTTCTGAGTTGCTTAGGCCTGGCCCCACCTCCAGCCATTGGACTGGGCGAACTCGGAGTCATACACAGAGAAGGGGTGGCTCAAGGCGAAGGCAGGCTGGAGACACTCGGCCGAGGGCGCCCGGCCGGACGGAAGTCCCAGTCTCCGGGGCGCGCAGCCCGCTCCGGATCCGGAAGCGCCCGCGGCCCGCGCTGCCGAGGCCCAGGAGCTCTAGGGGCCGCCTTGGCCTCCCCTGCTTCCGCCTAGCCGCCGGTACAGCCAGACAGGCTCGCTTCGCACGTTTCAGATGCAGCATCCACTGCAGACGGCGAGGTACTAGCGCAGCAGCAAAGGACTGGAAGTGGCGACTTTGGGACGAAGGGCCAGGAGACAAGTTGTCGCTTTTCCTGGATCGCACAGCTTTGGGCAGTCCCTGCGCTTGTCTGCGCCTGCGTTTTCTTCCTGCGGTGGAGGTAACGCTCTTTCCACTTCCTCACTCAGGTGGTATGGAGCTCGAGGTCGAACACGTTTTTTGTTACATGAACCAAGAGCTGAGACTTAATGTGTCGCAACAATTCTGGTGTTTACGCAGCACCGTGAAGAGTACTCTCAGAGATGCTTCTCTCAGCACCCTGCAGTGGCCTGCCTCCCAAGCTGCCTCCTTTCCCAGAGACTTCCCGTATTCACCTGTCCTAAGGCAGGGACGCTGAAGGGGGCGAGAGAGGGAGAAGATCTCTTGGACCGCTGGTCTCTCTTCTTGAAGCTTCTGGGGAAATGTGAAAGAAGCCTTTTTCAGTTCCAGTGGATTAATGAGTTTGCAAATTCTGTTTGGTTGGGGAAGTAGTCAAGGCTCGGAGGAGCCCACTCGTGACCAGTTGTGGATATGCTCCAGGAGGAGGGGCACCCTGGGGCAGACTGAGGGGTGGGGTGGGGGGAGGGCTCTGTGTCTACAGGGCGAATGTGACTGCTGAGTACATAGGTGCTCAAACACCCAGCCGCAGAGTGTAAGACAAGCCTTCCGTGGATTTGTGCTTTCTTGGCCTTGCACAGGTTCACCCTTGCATGAGGAAAAAAGGCAGTCACACAAGGTATTACATGGAGGTGTCTGCAGAAACCTTCCTGTCCCCAGGTGTCCTTAGTTCTCTCCATTTGCTAACATTCTCAGACATTCTTCCTATACACTGCTAGTTCTAGGTCCAGTGATGACAGTACATGACTAACACAGGAAAGTGGCATGGATGGATGGATGAAGGGACTGAGAGTTTTGTGTCTCTTTTCCAAATAGTAAACAGGTTCTCAGCAGCTCAGTTATCTCTGGGGATGTATAAAATGCAATAAATTCATTGTAAATATTTGGTTTGATTGCTGTTTTACTAGTGAGATAAGATAAGGGGTTTTTGTCGTGATAAGGGCATGTTTTCTATCCTTTGCGGGAAGGTATTATGTACTTGGAGCCTGTAGGTAAATCGTGATATAAGGATGTAGAAGAAAGCAGAGATGGGCCAGGAATGGCTAGAATCTTTTCTAATGATCAAAAAGAAAAAAGAAGCTTCTAGAGAATTCGGGCCCTACCTTAAATGAGTTTTACTTGGGTCATTGGTGTGTTAACTTGGGTGGAGAGCTGAATGTATTTGTGCATTTCGAGCTCAGAATTGCCTTGTATATCGAAGCACGCACAGCACCTCCTACAGGTCTGCAGCAGGCCAAGAACCAGAGCAGGTATACTGAAACTATCAGGATAGTCTATGGCCATGTCATTGGAGAGGTCATTTAACCCTGAAATATTTGAGGGAACACTCTAAGATGGTGGCAGAAACTAGAAGAGTTCTCATCAACTGTTAGAGAAATTTGTGAATTAATAAGATCTATATTTTAATTATAAGTTTTATATCCTATATGAACTTTTTTATATCTTTGTTGATTCATAACTGATGCTTTAGTCTATACAAATGACAGTATTGCCAGTCTGTAGTTAGAGTTTAGATCTAAAGTGTTTCCCACAATTATCATGTATTCAGAGGTGGGGTGTTTGGAAGGTAATTAAATCATGGGGGAGATATACTCATCAGTGTATTTATCCATTGATAAATTCATAGCTGAATATGCTGTCTTAGTTACTTTTTTTGTTGCTGAGAAAAAATACCGACACCCAAAGTTAAAGGAGGAAGGGTTTGTTCAGCTCAAACCTTGTAGAGGTTTGTAGAGGTTTCAGTGTGTAGAGGTTTCAGTCTATAGTTGACTGGTTCTAAGGCAGGGTGGCATGGCAGAGAGGCATCAGTGTGTGGTAGAGAGAAACAATATGTGGCAAAGCAGGGGACGCAGAAGGCAACAGGCACTGAAGTAGCAAGTGATGACCTCTTCCTGTCCCTTATATTTTATCCAGGGCGGGTAGCACTCACACCCAGGGTGGGGCAACTTTAATCCTATCCAGAACTATACCAAACCAATCCATGGACTAATTAGTAATCACACACCCTTGATCCCAGTAGCACATACTCTAGATCCAGCCACCTCTGGAAAGCCCCACCCATGACTGCATGAGGCTTTGGTGGGGACATCTAGACACAAGCCAGAGCATATGCTATTAGGAAGGGGCCTGCTCAGAAGAGTTGGTGGGTGGGAGCGTAATTTGGAAGGCCACAGAAGTCTTATCCCTGGCTGCTTCTCTCCTTTTCTCTCTCCCATTTTGCTTCCTGGCTACCACAGGTTGAATTGCTTTCCTTTTTCTAAGCTCTTCTGCCATGTTCTTTCTGCCTTAGGGCCAACCACTCATGAATGGAAGGGACCCTCTAAAACCATGAGCCAAAATAAATGTCTTTGCTTTTAAATTGAAAGTATCAGATATTTTGTCCCAGTGATGGGAAATGATTGATACAGAAAATTGGTACCAACAATGGGGTCATTGCTGTGACTGCACATGGTTATAAGGATCAGAAGCTTTTGGAACTGTTTTGTGGGAGAAGTTTGGAAAAGTTTGGAAGTACTGTCTAGAGAAGCCCTAGAATGTTGTAAGCAGTGCTTGATGGACAGTATTGGAGCTCAGAAAACCAGAGTGCTAATAGGAGTGTGTATAGTAAAGATCAGCTCATGAGGTTTCAGTTGTGAATGAGCACTGTATTGGAGGGCCTATATGTTTCATTTTGGTAAATACTTTGTTGATATTTTGGCTAGGTTCTAAAACTTTGTATAAGGCTAAATTTAAAGTTGGTACACTATTTAATCTGGTAGAGGAAATTTCAAGGCAGCCCAGCATTCAGGCTGTGGCATGGGTTCTTCTGGCAGCTTTTAGCCAGATCTGAAGTGAGAATCAGTGGGAAAAGAGCAGAGTGTTAAATTTTTTGCCCTTGGCCAGAAAGGAAATGTATGTAAAATCAGGGTCAAGGAGAGTGTGATTCCTAAAAAGATAAGCACAATTAGAAAAAAACCGTGTACTTTATACCCAAACAATGGAAAAGATGCTTTGAGGGCATCTCAGAAATTGCCCAAACCCCGCCCAACACATTCAGGGGTATAAAATGATAAAGTCCTTTAAGAGACTTTGCTTTAAGAAGAGAACCCTAGGATACCCTGCTAACTCAGGGCCACTTAGGAAAGAGTGTTTTCAAGTTCAGCCATCCAGGGATTGAGAGACTGTGGTGACCTTGGTTAACAGGGGCCAGGGAGAAAAGGCTGGATTACTGCTGGAGCTGGTAGCAAAACTTGGAATCATTCACACAGTGCTGGTTGTTTAAGCATGCAAAATGCTAGAGTTGTGGGCTCGTGGAGGATTCCACTCAGATTTAAAAGGATAGCCTAGGAGGTCAGGCAGTTTGTCTCTGAGAAGGCAGTGTGTAAATCTGTGAGAATAAAACAAAGTGCAGTGGAGACCCCAGGAAGTTTGAGGTACCAGAAATGTGGGGTGTCTGCTGAGCAGACCAGGCAAAGGGAGATGCCATGTAGGCTACCACCAGCAAGACTGTAGGAGCACACATGTGACCCCTACATGTTCTGGGCTCTGAACATGGAGCTATGGGATATAATGTTTTTCCTGCTGGATTTCTGGACATTTGTTCACTTCTTTTCTATGCCCCCTTTTGCACTAGGCCAGTTTACCCTGTGACGTTGGATGCTGGAAGTATTTAACTTTCTTTTTGTCTTTACAGGGGCTCACAGCTAAGCATTTGTCTTGAGTCTCACAGGAAGCCTTGAACTTGACTTTTAGACAGTGCTGAAATTGTTGAGATATTAGTGACTCTCAGAGATGAACCAGATGCATTTTACACAGTGACATGGGCATGAGCCTTTTGGGGGCCAGTGGTGGAATGCCATAGTTTTAATCTAAAATGTCCCTCAAAAGTCCTCTGTGTTCAGGAAGGGGCTTTTGGAAGATAATATCCATCCATCCATCAATCCTTCCAGCCTCTGAAAATGAAAACTTGTAAGCGTACAAAGTGAAAGAACAACACAAAGAATACTTGCAGAGCTTTCTTACATAGTCAGTGACAGTGACCCCTCAGGCTCCTTGTAACTCTTTTTCTCCGAGACATTTGACCGTAACTTCCAGACTGCACACACGAGGTTTGGTGTTGGCAGCCACTTTCTTCTGGCACTGGAGAGTGATGCCACCCTGCAGGCAGCCTTGTTTCTGATGAGAGATTCACTGTCCCTGAATTGCTGCTCTTCCCTTATCCATGTAAGAGGTGACTTTTAGTTTTGCTGCTTTCATGATATTTTCTTGACCTTTAATTTTTTCAGGCTCCTTTATGATGGTTCTTGGTGTGGTTTTCTTTGAATTTATCCTCTGGGATTTTCTTAGATTCTTGATAATTGTATTTGAACATTGTCAGCCATTATTTTTTCAGATATCAGCCATGATCTGTTGGCCACAAAGCAGGCACCTCCAGTGTCTTTTCCCTCTACTTCTTAGAGGTCGGTGATACAAACATTAGAACTTTGTTGAAGTCCCCGGTTTCTGGGGTCCTGTATATTTTTCACTCTATTTTCCCTTGTTTAGACTGGGTATTTCCCCTTATTCTGTCATGCAATTCTCTGATTCTTTCCTCTTTTTCTCCATTTTGCTATTGGGCTCATCCATTGGAGTTTTTTGAACATTTAATTATTGTAATTTTTCTAGGGTTCTGAAATGTCCATATAGTTATTCTTCTTTATATATTCTATTTCTTTGCCAAGATTTTCTATTTTTCCTTTGTTTTAAGAGTTTGTAATTGCTTTTTGAAGCATTTTTATGATATCTGCTTTAAAATTCTTGTCAGTAATTCTAATGCCTGTCTCATCTTCTCATTGCCATTTGTTGATTCTCTTTTTTCTTTCAAACTGAGATTTTCTTCTTTTCTTTTTTTTTTTTTTCTGAGAAGGAACTGAACGTTATTTATTTATTTTTTGTAAGTTCTTTTCTTGGTACATTTAAGGTATGCAGTTTGTTTACATTTATCATTGGGTGCTTGTACCTGTACATGATGTGTCATGGTTCTTATTTTTTCCCCATTACCTGTCCTCACTTCACCCCCTCCTCCCTTACCTATTTACATAGACATCATTTTCATGTTTTTTCTTTTCTCATAATTTTTCCTTTCCCTCCTTTCCTGTTCCCCTCCCTTCACCCCTTCATCTTTGGACCTTTTTTCCTATTTCAAATTATCACTTACTCATTTTAATCATTTTAATCCTTGTTTACACTATCAGTTTCTCACACCAGAGAAACTATTTGGCATTTACACATGTGTGTCCTACTTATTTCACTTGAGAGTATGGCCTCAATATCCATCCATTGAGCTATAAATGACTCTAGTTTTTCATTCTTTATGGCTGAGTGGTACTCCATTTTATAAAAAACCCCACATTTTCTTTATCTAATTTCCAGTTGATGGGCACTTGGGCTGTTTCCAAGCTTTAGCTATTACAAACTGTGCCTCTAT